GATATGTCTACTTTAAAAACTGAATTGGCAGACATTAAAAAGAAAACACAAAAGCTGGAAGAAATTACAAAACAATTAGAAGGGCAACAAAAAATGGGAGAAAATCTAATTTTGCTACAGAAATTAAGATATAGGGAGAAGTGCCTTAAACTTAGAGGTTTAAGTGAAATGCCGAATGAGGACCTATATGCAGAAATAATACAAGTGCTAGCAGGTTTTATGGACATTGCAGAGGAATATTTGGAAATGGAGATTGATAAAATGTTTAGAATTAATTCTAAGTCTGCAAGAGAAAAAAAAGTCAAACCAACAATGTTGTAATTAGATTTGCCAGAGCTAAGATCAGAGATGACATGCTATAAAGAAGCTACAAAAACATTCTCCAGATAGACAGTCAATCTATAAAGATTTTCAAGGACATACCTGCAGCTATACTAAAGAGGAGACAAGATTATAAGCAGTTGACTTAATTAACCATAACATCAGATAATCCTGGGAAAGGATAGAAGGTGTCATTTTCAAATACAAACAGAAAAGAGTTAGAATAAATACTAAAGCAAAGGCAGAGGAATTTCTCAAAACAATTAAGAGGGATAAAGAAAAAAACTCAGGAAGTAATAATATAAATAATATGGGCAATCAAATAGTTAATGACAAACAGGACATAAATAAGGGACAAGAGAAAACAGAAGGAGAAGAAGCAGAAGTAGGGGATTTTACTTTGGAAGAAGAGTGTTAATTTTGAATTAGAATACTTTGGAAGTTATTATATTTCTTTGATCTGTTTTACTTGTTATCTTAACATAATTGTGTAATAAAATGGATAAGAAAAACAATTTATGTTCATGGAATGTCAAATGGATCAATTCTATATATAAGAGATTTTTTTCATTATTTGGAAAAGAAAAATTATCACATAGTTTGTTTACAAGAAATTAAGATCAAAAAAGATGACTCATATTATATATAAATGCCAAATTGGGACAACTTTTTTATTATCTACATAAAAAGAGGAAATCAGGGGTGGTACTATACATAAGAAACATTATATTTGTAAAAGAAATATATAAAGATAATGAGGGCCATTATATTGCTGTCAAAGTATCCTTCTCAAATAATAAAATACTGGTACTGGGGATCTATGCAGGGTAACTCAACATTTTTCAAAGCATTGCAGAAGGAATTGGAAAAAAATAAGTATGATAAAACATTACTTATGGGGGATTGGAATGTGGTTCTAAACCCAGAATTAGATAGATCCGTTAAAGTTAAGCAGAAGAAAAGCCATGGTAAACTACCGAAATCTTTTTTTCAATTGAAACAATACCACAATTTATACCAGGGGTAGGAAACCTTTCCTCTTTAAGGGCGAGGGACTTCAGCTCCCAGAATCCCAGGAGCTATTGGCCAACATGGGACTATTGGCCAACATGACTGAGGCTTCTGGGACCCCCAATTTATATGATGTGTGGTTCACCTTATATCCTAAAAATCATGGGTTTACATTTCACTCGGCTCAATATGACTCTTTTTTTAGACTAGATATGTTCTTGATTTACTCATCTTTATTTTCAAGAATCAAAAAGATTCCATACAACAAGAATTGATTTGGATCATAACCCAATTATTTTGGAATTGGAAGTAGGGTATGGGGAATTTATTTGGAGACATAATGCGAACCTGCTTTGTGACAAATCATTCCTGGGAGAGCTGAGGGAAAACATTAAAAATTATTTCAAAGAAAATAATTTGAAACAACTTCCAGGTGAGAACAATTTGGGATGCTCATAAAGCGGTGTTAAGGTGACTTTTCTTTAAAAAATCCAAAGAATTAAAAAAACATGAAAGACAAAGAAATCAAGAGTCTTGAATTTAAAATAAAGGAAGCTGAAGGGGGCCTGGTGAAAGATCTGGCTTCATCAAATATAACAAATCAAATTAAATACTTACAGAAGAAATTGGACAGTATTTTGAATTGTGAAATTTCACAAAATGTAAAGAAAGCAAGACAAAACATTTTTGATTTAGCTAACGAACCAGGAAAATGGCTGGCAAATAAGAAGAAAAAGGGAAGAGAATTGAAAATAATTTCTGAAATAATAGACAATGAAGGCCATGCGACAACCCAAGAGGAAATTCAAGTGACATTTCTTCATTATTTCTCAAGACTATACAAGAAGGGGATGGATAGAATTGAAGACAACAAAGGTTTAGATTTTTTCTTGGAAAATACAAAATACTTAATGTTGAATGCAAATGACAGAGACAAGTTAAATGAAGAAATAACATCAGGAGAAATTGAAATAGCTATTAAGAACCTTTAATTAAAAAAAAATCACCTGGACCGGATGGATTTATCCCCGAATACTATGCAAAGTTGAGATCATCATTAATAGGGCCCCTAAAATCTACTTTTAATGATATTTCAATGAATGGAATCCCAGACTCATGGAGGTATGCTGACATTGTTTTAATTCCAAATGAAGGGAAAGATAGCATGCAGATAGAAAACCACTGACCAATATCATTAATGAATATTGATTACAAGATTTATACATCTATTCTGGTGTCTAGGTTAAAAGAAATATTAAAAAGAGAATACATGAAGATCAGGTCAGTTTTTTTACCGCAGAAACAAACCAGACATAACATAAGAATAGTTATAAATGTAATCGAATATTATGAACAAAACAATGATAAAAAACTTGCAATGCTGCTCCTTATGTATAAAAGGCATTCAGTTCTGTGAATTTGAACACTGTGTTTTTGATACTGGAGAAATTGAACTTTGGAGGTAAATTCATAAGATGGATCAAAAGTATATATATGGAACAAAAAGCAAGATTGATTATAAATGGGGAAAAATCAAAATAATTTAGTATCCAGAGGGGGGGTTACATAAGGATGCCCTATTTCTCCATTATTATTTCTTATAATTGTGGAGCTTCTTAATAACAGCATAAGGCAAAATCAAAATATAAAAGGACCAAAAATAAGCGGCTCTGAATTTAAGACCAGAGTATACGCTGACGATCTAATAATTTTTCTTGACAACCCTACAGAATTTATTGATATGCTAATGACAACAGTGGAAGAATTTGGGGGTGCACTGGATTTAAACTAAACAAGGGTAAAACTGTAACCATCACAAAAACCGTGACATTTAAAGAAGAAGAGACACTATAGGAATACTGAGTTATTTGAGTACAACCATGGGAGGGTATGGAAAGAAATAAAAAAGGATCTAATAAGTTGGTTGCAGCTAAAGCTTCCCTCTATGCTAGAATCTCAGTGATAAAAATGTTTGTCTTACCAAAAAAAATTTTAATTCTCAAATTTACCAATCATTTTCAACAACAAACCCTTCTCAACATGGAACAAGAAACTGAAATGATTTATATGGGAGGGGAAAAAACCTTGCACCAGAAGGAAAATCCTGAGCGACAGAAAAGGAAATGGTGGTTGTGATCTACCCGACTTAGAGTTACACTTTCAAGCTTGTGCTCTAACTTGGATTCAAGAATGAGTAAAGTTAAAGAACATAAGACTGTTAGATCTGGAGGGATATGATCTCAGGTATGGGTGGCATGTGTACCTTTGGTATGACAAACAAAAAGTACACCAAGGTTTCAGTCACCATATACTAAGAAGCTCCCTCATAAAAATCTGGAATAAAGTAAAGGCAAGTTACTACTGAGGATTACTTGGATGTATGTCCCCACAGGAAGCCATGTTAAGTAGATTCAAATCAATAAATAAATGGTTGAATTATGAAGATGTTATAAATCATGACCAGCGAAAGGGGAGTATAGAATTAAGAGTTAGGCATCATTCAGTGTCTTGAACTGAGTTTTACCTGGTTCCAATATTATCAATTACAAAATATATTTAAGTTTGATTTAAAACATTATGGGTTATATTTGGCCAGAAACGAAGTGGATAATATATTGTTATCTGAAAAAACCAAATTGCTATCTTGTACAGAACTTTACTAGAAAGAAAACTTGAAGATGAGGTGGTGAAAGATCATATGATAAGTTGGGCCAGAAACATTGGTAAAGAAATATCTTTGAAAAAATGGACGAAAGCCAGACAAGCAACCTATAAATTTACTAGAAATCAAATAATGCTAGAAAACTTTTTAAAATGGAGAAAAGATGGTACCTAACTCCAGCTAGGTTAGCAAAAATATATAAAAACAATAACTCTGTTTTCGGAAATGTCATAAATGCTACAGTTCATGGTTTTATATGTGGTGGACCTGTCCTGTAATCACAAAATTTTGGGAAGATGTACATGAAACCATATGTGAAATGCATGCCTGAATTATATCTTCTAAATATGATACAAGGTATAACAGTAATAGAACGAGGAAAAAATTGGAAGATAATCTTATACATGGTAACAACAGCCAGAATTCTGCTCTCAAGCAAATGGAAAACAGAAGAAATACCGACCTTAAATAGCTGGTTATATAAATTGATTGGCATATCAGAAATGAATAAAACCTCAGACACTACTGAGGGGAAATCAAGTAATGAAGGAAATGAAAAATGGAAGCCTCTCTCTCTCTGCATATATATATATATATATATATATATATATATATATATATAGACAAAATTTGGGGAATGTAATACATCTAATGTCAACAATGTACATATAAAGATATGTTAGGAACATAAAAAAATGTTTGAGTCAATAGATGAATAATACAATATAAGAAGTTGGGAAAGATATGAATAAGATTAATAACATATAGATGGGATATAATGGAAGTACTGATTAAAGCCTCACTAAGATTAAAGAAAATAGAAATGATAAAGGTTAGGACTTAAAAAAGAGAAGACAACATATCTGTATATAGTACATTATTAATGTAATTCTGATTTTTTTTTACTGTTTCCTTGTTTACTCTGTAACAATTATTAAGCTATGTAATATATTTTGGCCTATACAATTAAAAAAATTATAAAAAAAGGTCACTCAGTGGGTTTCCATGGCTGAGAAGGGAATTGAACCCTAGTATGCAGAGTTGTAGTCTAATTTCAAACCACTACACCATGCCTCAGTTTAAAAAGCATAGATCTATAAGTCTGGTCACCAAAAGGGAAATAATAAGAAATGTGGAGGCTGCTGAAAAAGAAAAAAAAATCAATTCCTGGATGTATTTTGAAAGAATCCTTCAAGTGGTTTCTAGAAGGTACAAAATCACCAACATGTCTCATTATGGTTGTATCCCAAATATTTAAGATTAAGGCGAGGGGTTCCTGAAGATGCCAGAAATAAATAATTCTGTGATTCATATGATTTCATGGACAGTGAGAAAAGGCCTCTTACAAGAATTTCTGGGTAAAGAGGTTCATTAGCAACCTGCTTATGCTACATTTAATGTGTATTTTCTAAGTGGACATCTGTTGAAAATATATTCATTTATTTTCCATTAGAGTAATATATTTAATAAGGGGGGGGGAAGCAAAATTACATAAATAAAGCCATGTGAGCAAATATATACTTGCAATATTTTTGAAATAAAAAGAGCTCTAAAAAGAATTAAAGTACCCAGTCTGACTAAGCTTCAGTGAGGGGTGTAGGTCTAATTCACTTTAGGCTCGTCTACAAATCCCAGATTAAATCATTAGACTTCTGAAGCATCCAGTGGATTGACAATGAATTCAGAAACCAGGCCCAGTAAGAGGTTTCAGTATATTAATCACAAAACAGCTTAAATATAAAAAACAAAAAACAACTTCCTCCACTTCTTGATCAATTTTATTAAATTATGCCTACTTAGGCAAACATACTTGGACACTGTAGTGATCCTGTTGCTATGTAGCCATTTAATTATTTATTTTTTTAAAGTAGTGCATTATTGCTGACAAATTTAAAAGATAAATAATGTAAGTGACTACATACCAGCAGGATCACTACAGTCCTCCATAAAAAAAATGGGAAGCCTGTGGTCCTCCAGAACATATTTTATTGTATCCCCATCAACTCTAGCCTACATAGGCAACAATAAGAGATACTTGGAGCTGTAAGCCAGAAATATTTGAAGGACCATCCTCACCCCTGATACACACACACACACACTTTATGTAGATTGGGGTTTACATGTGTTTACATATCATAGTGATGAGGAAAAGTAAGAAGATTTTTTGAGGCAAAAGAGGGAGAGATTTTTGAAGTCTGAGTACTAAGGAAAAACAAACTCAAAAGGAAGATATTGGGATATGTTTAGATAATAGAAATTACTTGTGACAGTAAAAACAGCACGTAAGGAAAATGTGATTCTTCCCTAACTAGATTTTTTATTCTTATTTTTTTAAAAAAAAAATATCCCTGGGTTTTCCTCTAGTTTGGCATTTTGACATAAAGCTAGGCATTTTGTGACACATTTGAATGTTATAACTATCAAATACATTTCCTTAACATCTTAACAATAAAAGAAGAGAATCATTGATGTAATGAGCACTAGCAAATTTGTAAACTTATCATTTTTTAAAAAAATTATTTTTAAGTCAAAACAGCTAGGATTGGGCAGAGCTGTTTAAATCAAGCAGTGACTTGAATTTCTTGTTTCTTTTCAAATAAATGTCTTTCATGACCTGCATTTTTAATGCTCTACTTGACAATGATACATGGAGATGTGATGCTCCTTGGACAAGAAGCACTAGCCTCTTCTCCTTGCCCAGGAATGTATTTGACAACCATGACCACAAGTATTGCCAATACCATAGATTACATGAGTGATAATAAAATAAAAGGCAGTATTACACAACACTATGCCACATGCATTCCCCCTCCACCAAACATACACAGTCAGTCTTTCTCTCAATCTAATACATTCTATTGATACAAGTGTAGTTTTTGCTTCTTATCTCTGAAATAATCTACCAAGCTGACGTGGTGCTGAAACTAAAGGGCCATGCAACAAAAAGACAGAGAGGGGTAGGTAGCTCTCATGCAAGTGTTTAGTAAATGAATTTCAAATGGCCTCTGATTTGGGGAGAGATATATAATTTTAATATTAGAGATCTTCATTTTTTTTCCTTTTTAAGGGTTAATAAATACTGGCTTCTAGTCAATATCACAGCTTGGAAGTAAGACATTTGAAGTAACACTGTTACCTGGAAAACATTACTTTGGAGTATAATGTATTACTCGATGGAGAATAATGTTGCATTTGTGAAATCATATAAAAATGTTCCTATCAATATCAGAGTTAAACGTTTTGTCAAGAGGAATGTAAAATTAAATTATATGTTCATGGTTTTGCATTAATCTTATATGAATTACAGAAAGCATTTGACAAATTGCTATATTTGCTTGAAAAATCTGGGCTAGTACAATTTCTAAAATTTCATTACTGTACTACACCTCAGCTTTTTCATATTATTCCCAATTTTTAACACTGTTCTGTAACAATAAACCCAGTTTTAATATTTAACAAATATACCTGTTCTCTGCCAAATCCTTCCTCTCAAATAATCTACATTAGTCCTTCCATATTCACGGGGGTTAAAGGATCAAGATTCCCATGAATAATGGAAAAACCACAAATACCCTCCCCCCACATAAGCCATTTCTAGGGTGGGAGCAGCAGGGGAATAGAAGGGAGAACTGTTTGTTTCTCTTAGTAATTATTCTCACCTTCTGTAATAGTCTCTTTGGAAGTCAGGCCTGAGAACCTATCTGTCAAAAATAAAGTATTGTCTCCCTTCACTGCACAACACTGTGTTTTATGGCATGAAAGCTACCATGGCATAATGTTCAGGAAACCTAAGCAATTTCCTTAGCAAACTTCATGAGACAACAGCATGGCCATTTTAGATTTCATACAATCCTTAGATGGTTATACATTAGGCACTAATTTATCACATTGATCTCCATTTTCTGCTACTCAGATTCACTATTTAAGACAGGGGTAGGCAAGCTTTTTGAGCCGGGGGCCGGGTTGCTGTCCCTCAGACAATTGGGGGGCCGAAGCACCAAAAATAAATAAATAAATAAATAAATAAATAAATAAATAAAAATTATTTTTTTTGAAAAAAATTAAAAAATATGCATGCACACACTGTCAGCCCCAGAAAAGCCATGGCAAAACCCCTGTGGAGATTTTGCCAAGAAAACCCCAAGAACAAGTAATAACAACAATAATAAATATCATCATGGCAGGTGCGGGGGGCAGCGGCGATGGCGGCAGCAGGACCGGCCTGGGGCCGGTCCAAAGGCCTCGGGGGGGGGGCGCATCCGGCTCCCGGGCCTTAGGTTGCCTACCCCTGATTTAAGAAAATGTACCCTCTGAAATGAAACCTAACTTATGTACTGAAAAGTACAAAAAGTCCAGGTGATGAACAATGCTTCAATGTATTAGCACTGTATGAGATCTAAAACTGGTGTGCTCCTGTCTCATGAAAACTGTGCTAAGGATACTCTTCAAGTTTCAGCATAGCAGCCCAAGCCAGTGATGATTGACAAATTTAATGCAATTCAACCAGTTTGAGATCAAATAAACTAGATTAATATTATTTTATTTGACAATAAACTAGTCCTTGGCAATGAGCTCTATTTGCATATTTGCTCAAATGTAAATGTGCATTTTATGCTGTAAACAGTTTATCTGTAGTAGTGGTTTTTTATGTATAAGAATTCAAAATTCCCAGTGTACTTAGCGTTATGCCAGGGTAGCTTTTCTCTAAACAGTGTGCTAAACAACACTGTAGAACAAGAACAACTTTTTTAAAAAAAAACAAGAGTGGCAGTGTTTACCACAAAATATTTTTGGCAAGACTCCATGTATTAAATGCATCAGTCTTTGGATATGTGACATCTTCCAAACACATTGGACTACAACATCAGTCTTTCCCACTCCACATGGCCAAAGTGGATGGGGATGCTGGAAGCTGTAGTCCTATACTTTTTGAGGGTGCTGGGTTGGAGAAGCTGCAAACATCATCAGAACAGTTATACGAGATAGGGTCTAACATCTACCACAGCATTTGAGACAATGAGAACCTGAGTTCATCTTTGCTTCCTTGGGACTAATGAAAGTATGTGGGCAGTGTCTGATAAAATATCAGTAGACAGAACAGAGCTATGATTCTTCATAGAGCTCCTACAGAGCTAACAGAAGCAGAATGCTATGCCGTGTTTACATAAATCTGCTCCAGTGACAGATCTGTCTTTCTTTCCACAGATTTGGATTTAGCTAGTATTGTGTCTAAACTAGGTCCCTAGAAACATTTGTAAAGCACCCTTAGAAATCACTTGCTTGTTGTTTAAAGTAGTTCAGGAAAGGAATTCAATTATTAATTTTTTCAGTCATCTGTCTTCTACATGGTTGTATTAATTTATTCTTGAAGAATGAGGTACCACCCTGAGAAGGACATGAGAGGGGTGTGGGAAGGAGAAGCAGCAGCAGCAACAGCAGGTAGTGGGGGTGCTTATGTGTATGGCTGACGAGCTTTCTGGTGTGGGTTTCTTTGTTGTGTTCAGCTTACCAAAGGCCTTTCTGTTTCATGACTGGGGTTTCTCGGGTGGCCCCTTCTCCCTGCCACATTGACAGGCATGCCTTGCTTGGTGAACCTTACTGTTTCCTTGTCCATCTCCCCTTCACCAGCCAGATGCACTCATCCCATCAGCATCTCAGCAGTGCACACTCAAGGATATTTGGTCTCAACCCAACTCTGAAGTACTGAAATTTGGTAGCTTTCAATCAATCTGGCACTCACTGCCAACTGCCAAAACTCATTGGCATACTTGGTCACAGACCATAACCCCTGCCTGTCTCAAAGCTAGAAGTAACATGTGTGCCTTCTGTTGAAATAGAAACTCAAAACATGCATGCAGGCTCATTATGAAGGCATGCAAATTGAAGGAACAAAGGAGAAGATGTTTTGTATCACTGTGGGAAGTCTTTGCCACAAAACAAAATTAATTGTAAATGATGGGAATGTTTGCTGCTACTGAAGTAGAAGGAGAGTCTCTGGCCAATATACATTTACATAAGTGGTTTTCTGTATTTGGATAAAAATTTTAATGAAGACACTGAAAAAACCTCAGCAA